AATGTTTAGGTTAATTTAGGCCCTCAAAAGCCATACATCTTGGAACCAAAGAGGCTGCAGTGAGTCTATAAGGAGATTGGCGTGAGAGGTTGCCTAAACTTTTCTATTATTTTCAGGCTTAATGACTGCATTCCTTTTGCATTTAGAGTGCCTGGAGCACATGTATTTAGTTTTCCTTTGAGCTTAATAAGTAGATTAATATGTGTTTTGGTATGGTTTTTAGTGGTTGTTTTTTTTTTCCCTAAGATACTATTCAACACCCATATGGCAGCTCTTTACTTAAATTCACCGATATCTCTAGAAAGGGTTTCCCATGGATCTGTGTATGGAACTATCTATGCCTGCTCATCCCAGATACTATGAAGTATACCAACTGCAGATTCACAAAGTGTAATTCCTCAATTTAAGATGTAGTGTCAAAAGTTCATACATTTTATATATTCCTTCTTCCTCCCTCTCACATCCTTACCTGTTTGGAGCACCTCTACTTTTTAGAATAAAAATGATGCAATCTATACAGGCAGTGATGCCAGTTGTCTCAGAAGACAAGTCTTAAATCCCTTTGAGTGTGAAGTAGTAATACCATTTTAACATGTACAAAGACTCAGGTTTATCATGCACTAAATCAAGTCAACACTTCATACTGGTGTGTGTGTGAATCCTTATTATGTCAGGAATCAAGTTTCAGGTATCTGTTTCTTAGATATTTCCTTGTTCATCTCTAGCTCGTTTACTAAATTCAAATTGTACCAGCAGTTTCCAGGAGGACAGGGTTGCAGTTTTGCTATCTGATTCAAATGTGGTCATGCAGGAAGATAGCATAAGAGTATGATTCCTCATGTGCATATTAATCAAGAGATCCTGTCAGGTAGCAATACAGACATATACCTCACCTCTCACCAGTAAATCCATGTTTGTGTTAATAACAAGCTGTTTAAAGCAGTTCTTTTGATGAGACTATCTCAAGCTTTATATATGTGCCGCTTCCCAAGCCTGATGAAACTCTTTTGTCAAAGATATGGGTAGAACTCTGCAAATTCAATACATTGTATACCTTTTCCAATAAATTGGTTGTAAGCAACCAATAACAAATCTAGACCCTTAGATTGCTATCCGTGTTCTTCTTAAGGTTTTTGAGCAGTCTGTAGGTACACAGCAATGAACTTGGCCCTTGTCTGCGACAAATCCAGAAGAGACCAAGGAAGGAATCTGAAAGAAACTTGTTTATTGGAGAAGTGTTAGAGAACTTAACACCACCCTGCTCTGCTCAGAGAGCAAACTTTCCAACCAGTAAATGTTATTTCTTTATTTGACAGCATCACTGTGTTAATATTTAAAAAATGCATGTCTAGTAATAAGCAGTTTCTTACCTTCCAAATAAAATAATTTTCATGGAGCTTAAGCATAACTCCTTTCTATATTCAAGTCTTCTTTCATTTCAGTCTGGTCATTCAGTTTACAATTTTTTAAATACATTATGATACAAATATTTCAATATTATTGACTGAAGAAACAAACAAAAACCTGAAGGCTTCCTGGATCTACATTCCAAGACCCTGTATTTTCTTTTTTTTTTTTCATATTTGCTAAAGCATGGCAAGCAAATACCAATTCAGTTTGAGAATGACCTTGTCAATTTAGAAAGAACAATTAAAGAATTGGGGATGGGGTGTGGGGGGTGGTGGGGAATCAACTGTTTCAGTATTTATGTCAATACTAGTCTTGGCATTCTCAAATGAATATTGTTAAATGCATGTACACCAAAGTATTTTAATATTTTCCAATGTCCAAAACGTCATTAAAAAAGTAGTCAAACAGTGTAAAAACTTCTGGTCAATAGCAAGTTATGACTTGTGACCTACAAAAATGAAGCAATTAAATAAAGCAACTAAATAATATCACCCATATGAGCTCTCTTCTTCTTCCTAGTAATAACAGTCAGCTAGATATATTTGGTGATTAATCAGTGCTTATTCCTTTAAATGTCAGCTGCTCATGTCTAAAATGTCAAGCAAAAACTTTTTGTCTTGTAGTGAATCATTTGAAGAAGGCCTTGAAGAAATTTAGACTATAAGTCTAAGATTAAAAATTAAAGAGTATCTGTTATATGTTTTAGAACATGCATCATCTTGAGCAGATCATATTGTTTGTCATGTTGTCCAGATGGGGAAATTCTCTTGTTCTGATGGAAATAATGTAATTTCAAATTTTGCAATTTTCTGCCATAAAATACTATGTGTGATGCTTTTTTTATGAGTGCCATAGCTCTTTCCTTGTTTCCAGGAATGATATTTTATCAAAGGAAAGAAAGGAAAGAACAAATTATATTGTAACCAGAAGACATGGCTATAGAAAAAGAGTACCTGAGTACCAAGGTAAAATATTTCATAGGCATTTGGATGATCCTGAAAGTGAGAGTAATAACTGAAGTTATTTTGAAGTTTAACATAGTTATCTTTTATCTCAAATTCCTTTCTGTAGTTCTTTCAACTGACATCACTTGTTACACAGCTGAGGAGAGTTTCAGCTTTTCTCAGCCAAATTGATGTCCTGCTGTAATGCTTTGCTTACTGCCTTCTCCTGCATCCAACAAAAATGGATCTAGTTGACATTTCAAGCGCCCCTGATCACTCAGGGTATTCTCTTTCTGCACATGATGTCCCTCACCATAGATTGTATCTTAATGAAGCAGGATATTAGTTCAGTGCTTTGTTAGGTAAAATATTACTTGTTTTTCATCTCTATGCAGTAAACACACAATAGTTTATTTGTAATAGTCAAGGGTGAACAGACAGTAGACAAGCAACAGAAGGACTGTGGAGATAAGAAATCAGAAGTGAGACCAAGAATGCTGTGGTAGAAATGGATAAAAGAGAGGTAGGTGATGTGTCTGGATATAGCAAGTTTGAACCTGGTTTTATTATTTTTCTTGGTGATGCTGAATGCAGCATCTGTGAGACAATGGTCATAAATGAAATAATGGTCATAAAATGAAAAAGGAGACTAGACATAAGGAAAACATTCTTCACGGTGAGGACAGCCAGGCACTGCCAACAGGCTGGTGAGAAAGGCTGTGCAGTCTCTGTTCTTGGCATTTTTCAAGATAATGCTCAACAAATCACTGAGCAATCTTATTTGAACAGGGTCTGTTGACCCTGTTTTGATGAGGAGGCTGGTCAAGATGACCTCCTGGAGTCCCTTCCAACCTGAATGACCCTCTTTCCCCTTTTGATCCACTAACATAAGCCAATATTACTCTTCTGCATAGCATTTACTGTAGTAACCCCATTAGAAAATAGGTTACCTCTGTTTATTTTCTGCTTCATATAGAATATACTATAGTAGTGCTCCCTCAAAAGCAAAACTCAGGAAAACTGCATAGAAAATACATTATTTTCAATGAATGTACTTAATGTTGACAAAGTCAATGTTAAGAGCTGTCAAAATTTTATTCAGTCATGTAAACTTAATTCACCTCTTTTGGGTGTAAATATATTGAATCATATTCTTATTACATGATTACATGCTATGTTTTCCAGTGGGATGAGTATCTCATTTGATGTGTAAAGTGGATAGGTTCAGAGAAACTTATTAATGGTTATATATGAGTGAATATATAAGATCAAAACATTTTTTATGAAGATACTTGAACGCCATGGAAGAGAGTACTATTCTATGCATAGTTCTACAACAGAGTTCTTGTATGATACTGTACAGATAAGTCCTCTAAATAAAAGTGTTGACATGTAATCAGAAATCATATTGCATATGTAAATAACCTGACAAGGTACAGTATAGACTGAGAGCTGTAGTTGCTGTGTACTTGTGGTTATAAAGTGGAATGATTTGAAGAATGCAAACAATATCTGGAATTTTTTTAATGTATCTTACCACCAATTTACTCGGTAAGTAAGGATGAATAGCTTTCTATCAGAGGACTCTTCAGTTCTTAATAGTGTTAATACCAGTACAATATGTTTGTTATCAGGGGATTTTGTTAAATTCAGTAATTTATGTAAGGCAGTTAGATATTGCTAAAGATCAAAGTCCAAGAATATGAATAATTCTTTATTTTTTTCTGAATAATTTGTATTTGAAGACAAGCACAGATTATCATAGAATCAAAGAGTGCCTGAGGCAGGAAGGCACCTCTGGAGACCATCTAGTCCAAGCCCCTGCTCAGAGCAGGGTCAGCCAGGGCAGGTGTCTCGGGACCATGTCTAGCTGGGTTTTTAATATTGTCAAGGATGGAGAACTCAGTCTCCTGGGCAGCTTGTTCTGCTGTTCAGTCACCCTCTCAGTAAAAAAGGTTTTTCCTCTTCCTGTGTTTCAATTTGTGCCCATTGCCTCTTGTCCTGTCACCGGGCACCACTGAGAAGATTCTGGCTCTATCTGCACTCACCTCTATCAGGTATTTATACACATAGCTAAGATCCCAGGAGCCTTCTCTACTTAAGGGTTAATTGCTAGCTCATCGTCAACTTCTTGTCCACCAGAACCCTCTGGACCCTCTCTGCAGAGCTGTTTTCCAGCCAAGTCAGCACCCAGCCTGCACTGGTTCATGGAGTTATTCCTGCCCAGGTGCAGGATCATCATGGAATCATTGAATCTTTGCTTCATTCCTGAAGTGCCAAAGAGTAGTAAGTGCTGGCTAGTCCTTAAGGGACAGTGAGCCAGGTGCCAAACACACGAACACAGCCACAAGGGCAGGGGCCTTGTCAGCCAGGACCCATCCCACACTAGCCCAGCGAGGGAGCAGGCAGCCTTGGGGGTGGCAGCCATGCCAAGCCAGGAGTCCAGGTCATCAGACGTACAGAAATGGTTGTTGTGCAACTTAGTCAGAAAAGTTGATTGTTTTGATAGATGGTAACATTAAATCTTTAGTTAATTCTAACTAAAAAACATGAATGTGCTTTAACAAAAAAAAAAAAAGTAGCTTAAAAGGTTTTGACATGACATTCTTTGTGCAGGTTGAATAATGTAGTTTGTATTTTTAACAGTACAGCCTCAAATAATACAACTTAAAAATGAAACCACATTTGAGAATGGGAAAGCCACCCTCATCTGTGAAGCAGAAGGAGAACCTATCCCAGAGATTACTTGGAAAAGGGCCATTGATGGGATAACTTTCTCTGAAGGTGACAAGGTAAATCAGCCTTTATATGTATTGTCTGGCTAATCTTTTTGTAAGCAGAAAATTAATTTAGAGATAGATTAATTCTAGATTCCTGTGGAATTGGAAGGAATTGCTACTTTCCAAGGTAATAAGAGAGAAATGGAAATTCTAAATTTTAAATTAAAAAAAAAATACTAAGAAAAAAACAATTAAAGTGCTGAAAGGTAATTCATCTCATCAGGCCTAAATTTTCGTACATAATCCCTGCTAAAATTTTCAATTTTGTTTTGATCACAATGGCTGCCGGTAGCCCTTCTTGACTATATTTGGACTCTGTCCAGTATTTATCAAAATGCAGTGGAGGTTGTAGAAATCTGAAATAAAAAAAATTGAATACTTTGGAGTTCTTTCTTTCCCACTTCTAATGGCTTTTTTTCCCTATTTTTCTCTTTTCTTATAGTTTTTCTCACATGGAGCAAGTAGTCTATAACTACAAATTGAGCCTATATTCCCATTTTGTTTTCCCATTTTCATGTTATATTACAATAGTAAGTTGAGTAGAGAAAGATTACAGTACGACAATGAAGGAAGTCAGTTACTGTGAGAACAAGAGCTGTAATTAGATGGAATAGTGAAAGCAAAACGGAACAGTGTAATGTTATTCCTAACCATGCAGATAACAAGCTTTTTCTACAGAGCTCTTTTTTTTGTTTGTTTTTAAATAGTTTTCTTTTAGTATTTGAACAAGTATTTTCTTCTCAATTTCCTTACATAAACTGCAGAATTTCTCTGTGCTGGTTAAAGTATGTAAGATACCATCTTTCTGGCTGGCTGATTCAGAATTTTTACTCCAGATAATCAAATAGCGAAATACAGTCTTCCTGCAGATGTTTGCATATTCATAGCTGTTGCTTAAAAAAACAATTGACAACTCTATACAGTAATCATGCCATTGAGGGAATTAGTTACATAGTAAGTCACTCAGTTTATAGGGAATTGCTGTATATTAAGGAATTATGTACTTCCATTATTTGTGTTCTGAAGGAGAATGTCTGGTCTGGTCTAGTCTCTGACTTGACCTTTCCTGGAATTGAGGCAGTTTACGTGAGGCTCTGTCTACCATTTTCCTGCTCTGTGATTTCCATTTTGGAGCAATATAACAGTATTTATATAATATTTTTTTTAATATTTTTTCATTAAAACAAAGCAGTTTCTCTCCTCCTTAAATATTTCAAGTCAAAGGTCATCTTTCTGACCCACAAAGAATACACTTGCTTCAAAATTTACAAATGTAGCCTTTCATTTATGTTTGGAATGTTCCTAAAATAACTTTGTTATATCAGAAATTGAAAATGAAGGCAAATGGCAGAAACAAGCTAAAAAATGTTGGTGCAGTTGAAACCTTAAATTTATCCGGTGCTTATATAGGATAGTATTATATTCTTAGTTCAAACTGTACATGGTTAAACTGTCTAGATGTGTTAGTAGCATTCTCTGACCTGTGGTTCGACTAAATAATACTGACAACCAAACTAAAACTTATATTCACATTCTACCAGTGTGCTGACATACGGTACATGGAAGATAAAAAGAATGAGAATAAACGCAGTTATATGGTTTCCTCTTGTTCTTGCCAATGAAAGAACTCTATGTGTATTGCTCCTGGGAGAGGTTTGCTGAACGTTGAATAAATGTTCTGAAATACTGTATATGTTCTTGAGCTATAATGTTGTGTTTGCTCAGTGGTTGCTCCAGCTCTAGGATGCCAAAGCCTTGGCTTGTGCTTTTCTACCAAATCAGGTGAATAAAGAACAAAACTATCAGTGATTAAATTATTGTATAATTGTTGAATAATACAGCAATGTTTTGCACAATGAAAGAGAAGGAAAAGGTGAATTGAAGAAAATGTGGGGAGTGTAACATAGTTTTAAATTGAAATTATTATTTATATGTGATAACTTGTGAAGCCATGTCCAATCACCAGACATACTTGCATAAACATAAAAATTATCAGCTGCATTCAGTGAGTTCATCTTTTGAATTTTTTATCAGTTTTAAAACATTTTTTGATATAGACTGCACTTTGTCCAACATTTTTGTTGAATTAAGAATATCTTTAGGCGATGAATTTTTTCCATAGAAGATGGAAGAACTGCTCTAACTATAATAGTAACATGATGATAACAAAAAAACACAAGAAGTGTTGTTCTTATTTTTAATTATATTTTTGTTACTTCTAGCATGTAGCTCCTCAACCATGTTATTCTTGTTTTGCTAAAATGCAACCATACCTCGTGTGGATAAGGAAGAGGGCTGAGTGTGAGACCATTCTTAGCCTGCATGGATTCAAAATATTTTCTTTCAAATGATAGATAGATCTTAAATCTAAGGACATAGGCTTTTTCAAGATTTGGAATTATTATGTCCAAAAGAATGGAAAATATGCACCAAAGTCATAGATCAAAGAAATAACCCTGCTGGGCTTAAGGAGGATAATGTTAATGAGTAAGAGGTCTATAATGATCGCTTAGGAAAATATAGCTTTGATAAAGGATTTTCAGTACATCAGAAGTGTGTATTTGAAAGTTGAAGCCAAGTGAGTTCAAACAAGAAGCAAAGAAGCCTTTTCCTCTCTCCTTTTATCACTTAGCCTTTGGAACAATCTACCATACAGTGTGTGGTCCCTCTTTCATTGAAAATTTGAAATAAATGGGTCTTTCCACTTCCTCTGGCCCCTCTTGAAAGTTTAAATGAAAAGTTTTCCAGGAGGTCACATTAGATGACCTCTGTAATCCTTTTATGGCTTTAAAACCCATAAATACATGAGAGTGGGTAAGCCTGAGTAAATGAATGATTATGCATGACAGAAGGTGTTTGGCTTATCCTTAAAGATTTGAAAATGAAAATGGAGGTTTAGTCCAAGACCAGAGCTTCATCTGCTGTTGCAGTGTCAAGCCAAAACTCTCTGCTTGGTGCATGTACTCTGCCTCTGCGCTTCTGGTCCCCGACTCCCCAGCATTGCACGTCCTTTCACTAATGTGCCAACCTGGTCATGCCCCTTTTGGCTGTGATTTGAAACGGGATGTTCCTACAGACCTCTGTGCATCCAGCAAGCCTGGCCCTTTTCCCAGTAAAAAAAGGAGGCAGGAGAAGAGTTGCATTTTGTAGAACAAGAGGCAGGATAGTGATTGGATTTGATTTGCTGTAATCACTTATAAAATGGATTTTGGACATGCACATACATATCTACACACATCCGTGAAGGAGAGCATATCCTGATTCTCTGATACAAAAATGTCATTGATTCCTGTGCATGCTGCAGAAGTGTGAGGGCAGAGTTTCATGCTCTACTTTCCTAGTACCTAATTCTAGCAGAAATATGAAAGCTGACCAATGTTTGCAATTAGCATTTCAAGCCCTGTTTTGGAATACAAATGACAATAACAGATGGGGCTTGATATGAGACAATAGCTCCACTGTATGCAGCATGTGTCCAAAGCGACAATCTTTACCCTGAAGAATTTATGATCTAAACATGCAAAATGAATGAAAGAAGTCAGCATGGAGAGGCCACAGTCCAGTATCTGATACTCAGTTTTGATAATGCCTCATGTGTGGAGTAACTGGTTAACAAAAAAACCCCAAACCAAACAAACAAAAAATTTGCAACTTGGATGTTGAATTCAAGATATATGAAATGACACTCTATTTTGTATATATTTGATAGAGTTTCACTAAATGTCTTTGAAATACCTTATACTTTTCTTCTTGTATCCATAAGTAAAAAAAATCTCTGATTTTTAACTTTCTAACGAAGACTACAGAGATAGCTTGAGTTCTACTTCCTTGCATGTACCTACCATTGCAATAATAATCTGGGTGTCCCTGTGAAATTTCCTGTGACATAGTTTCTAAATATTGCAGACCTCAGACCAATAATTAAATGCTTTTCCAAGTTTGAATTCACTTTATATTGGCATGCAAATCATAACTATCTGGCGCTTGTAGAGTTTTTCATAGTTTTAATGATCAGGCAATAGACAAAGGTAAAGAATTTGGGGTTTGGTTTGCCTTTTTCTTTGAGAGGTCAACTTTGCTTTTTCCCCAAGCCTGTTAACTCCACTTCACCTGTTACAAATGTCAATAAAAAGAAGGTGAAAAATGTTTTGCTTCCGGTATATGCTATTGTTGCTGCAGAAAAAGGAGCAGTGTTACAGTGTCAGAGAATTGTGTTGCCTTTCTTTTGAGACAGTAATGAGAACTCTGTTACATTCTCGCTTATTGAGGATCAGGTCTTTATTTTAAGTGAATCACCCCAAAAGAGGAGACATAGATGTATCTAGGGAATTTTAATTGAGTCCAGGCAATTTCTTTCTTTTTCTGAGCTATACAAATCCCACTCTTTGTAAATTAATCTACTTACAATATCACAGAATATTTTTTCTGTTGTAATATTATCAGAGGCCTAATGCTGCAATTGCATTTGATTATGCAATTAGGACACTCTGCAAACAATTCAATCAGGCATCAAAGATTTTTTTATTTTGTTTTTAACCCCAAAATGAATCATGGTGGGCTTCACATGTTAAGGCTATGAAATAAAAGAGTAAGAATATTGTGACTGGAAGGAGAAGGTAAATGAATGGACTTGAAAGAGAGCAGAAAGCAGGAGGATGGCCTTAAATATTAGGTAATCAGTGCTGTTGAGATTATACAGATTTATACCCTATGACGTATGCAAAACATGGAGCACATACAAGCACTGAATAGTATACTCTCACAAGTCATCTGACCCATACAAAACTGCATATGTTTTGGGGGTCCTTCATCTCTGTGGCATGTTCAGCTACACTAATGTGGACTTGGAACAAACTCTTCAATTAACTAGAAGGAGCTAAAAGCAGAGTGTACAGTTTTGGGGGGTGACACTATTTTAGTAGGAAGATTGATTTTGGAGGGGTAAGATTGTATGCAGCTAAAAATACAGAGCAGCTTTCCTGGGTGAGCCGAGGAAGCATTACAGTAGGAAA